AGCTTTCGTGGACTACAGCATCCGAAGAAGTGGGCTGTAGTCCACGAAAGCTTATGCTCTAATAAATTTGTTAGTCTCTAAGGTGCCACAAGTACTCCTGTTCTTCTTTATTCAAGATAGAGTGGCCCATTAACACCTCTGCAGACATAGAACACTTTCAGTCCATGATTTTTAGTGCCTAGCAGAGTAATGAATTTAAGCTCCTCTTTTCAAAGTTGTGCAGGTTTCCTTTGAGGATAAGGACTGATAGGTCAGATATAGAGTGATTGTTTTATGAACAGTGTTCACCCACAGGTGATAGGGTGTTTTTGTCTTTTATCGTTTTCTGTGTGAGTTCATTTAAGAGCATAACGATTGCCCGGTTTCACCCTCATAGTTGTTGTTGCTGGATTTAGTGCAATGGATGAGGTATACAACGGGTATACTAGGGAAGTTACCTGGAAATCATGCGAGAAATCCAAAACGACTATAAAAATACCCTGATGACAGTCATCCAACACAAAAACAAAAAGTGGTACCAATTACAACTACTCCACAACCCACAGAAAATCATCTCGGGAAGAAACCATGGCACCAGTCCCACCACATGGACAGTACATGACACCCGAACATCATCAATTTATCAAGATACATTAGCTCCAGGATTAGGTATCTGTACTCTCTAAGAAACTGAGCTTCTGCCCCACCACAGAACCTGATACCATCCTAACGTGGAGAACTAGAAGAGTTCTTTCACTGTCTCTGCCTCCAAGAATTCTTTCACAGCAATGACGACATCACTCACATTTACCATGTCCCCACTGACAATCATAAGAAAAAAGAATAATCTGACTGGACGCCACAGAGCTGATGAAACCACATTTTTGATCATTAAATTGATTGCTTCAGGAAAAAAATTGACTGTGAAATCCTTAACAAGTATCACATCCATCCTCATCTCTCCAACATGAAGAGAACACACACATAGTCCCTGAAATCCAGCCCCCAGACAAAGTTGCCATCTTCATAGTCCTTAACTGTGATGACTATGTTAACGAGGCCAACTGACAACTCTCCGACATCACCTACTATAAAGAACTCAAAGAAGACCCTACACCACTATTTACCCAGGAATTTAAGGATATAATCAAATCCTTCCTCAAACAACTCCAAGAGAAACTCTACAAACTCATCCCCCACAAACCCACCCCCAGGGATCTTCTGCATGCCTCCCAAGATACACAAACAAGGGAACCCAGGCAGACCCATCATATCTGGCCATGGCACTTTTACTGAAGGAATATTGGGATTCAAAGAAAGCATCTTCAAACCATTCACCACACAAAGGGCCAGCTTCTCCTGAGTACAGCTGACTTCCTCCACAGACTGTGCAATATTAATAACCTCCCTCAGAACACCATCCTCACCACCATGGATGTCACTTCCCTATATACCAACATCCCTCACAACGATGCAGAGCTGCCTGCCTCAAATATTTACAAGACAAAGGACAAACCCTCAGAGATCCACCCCAAACACATCCATTTCATACTCACCCATAACAATTTACATTCAACAATAAATGCTCTGTCCAAACCATGGGAACAGTCATGGGTACTAGGATGGCTCCCCAATATGCCATCCTCTTCATGGGTCACCTTGCAGAAGAATTTCTGGGCAAATGCACCATGAAATCTATCATATACCTTAGATACATCAATGATATTTTCATCCTCTAGACAGATGTGTTAAACTCCCTCATAGATTTCCACCTCAACTTCAGCAACGACCACCCATCCATTAAACTCTCTCTGGAACACTCCCACACTAGCCTCAATTTCCTGGACATCACAATCAGCTTCAACAATGGAACCCTACAGACAACCATATATAAGAAACCCACGGATCACCATACCTACCTTCATAGATCCAGTAACCACCCCAAACACACCAAGAAATCTGTGATCTACAGCCGAGCACTCAGATACCACAGAATATGCTCTGAGGAGAAAGTCTGGGATATACACCTGAACACACTTAAAACTGCCTTCACCAAAGACACTCCACCAAAGAAGTAGATCACATTATGGAACAGGCCACCTGAATATCCCCAGAGAACCTGCTTCAATATAGAAATAAACCCCCCCTCTGACCACACACCCCTAGTAGTCACCTACCACCTCACACTGGAACCCACACAGGGTCTCATCAAACAACTACAACCCATACTTGATGGGGACCTCATCATGAAAGAAGCCTTTTCTGAACCCCCATTTCTGGACTTCAAACAAGCCCCCAACCTCTCCAGCAAGCTTCCCACAGACCAGGACACATCAATTCAAAGCATCACCAGACCTTGCCACAACAACAGATGCAAAATCTGCAGACATATTTCCACTGCTACACCGCATACAACATACTTTTCAAGATCCATGGATCCTACACATGCCTATCACAACCTCCTCCAGTGCACTAAATGCCGCAATAACTGTGTGGGTGAAACCAGACAAGCACTATATTCTCAAGAGCTCACACAGGAAAATGTCTGTCTCTTTACTTTAGTCCATTAAACATATTCCATTGGCATAACACAACAATTGGCATAACAAGAGACAGGGCCGGCTCCAGGCACCAGCTCAGCAAGCAGGTGCTTGGGACAGCCAAGGGGAAGGGGCGGCACGTCCGGCTCTTCAGCGGCAATCAGTCCTTCTCAGCGGGTCCCTCAGTCCTTCTCGGAGGGAAGGACCTGCCCCCGAATTGCTGCCAAAGAATCAAGCGGCGGCGGTAGAAGTGCCGATCGCGGCTTCCCCACCCCCCAACCGCTTGGGGCAGCAAAAATGCTGGAGCCGCCCCTGACAAGAGAGATGATGTATTCAGTACTTCCCTTTCAGCTATTTAGAACACTTTTTTTTAATTCACAGATTGAAGTGGGAGCCTAATGTTTCTATTTGGAAAACACTTTAAAATATGGGTTATGCTCCTTGTGTAAATAGTTCAATTAAGTCTCTCTACTCCCCCACCAAAAAAAATTAAAAAAGAAAGACACCAACCTCCACCAAACAGCTTTCCACCCCCCCCCCAAAAAGTAGTGGCTTGTCTCTCCGCTTTCCTTGAAAATCACAAACAACAAGGAGTCTGGTGGCACCTTAAAGACTAACAGATAATCTGTTAGTCTTTAAGGTGCCACCAGACTCCTTGTTGTTTTTGTAGATACAGACTAACACGGCTACCCCTGATACTTGAAAATCACAGTTTCTGTTCATATCTCTGCAAAGGTCAGCTCACAGAGGAGAGTAGATGGGTTTTCAGAAGCTAAGGTCATTTTGGAGGTATGGTGAGGCATATGGAGATATCATATCATTTTTTCTTATTAGCTTTGAAGTGTTTTCATGGACCCTTGCACTACCAGGAGGAGATGGAAGATATACAGAGAGAACGTTTTGCCTTAAATGGGGAGAAACCCAAGAAACCATGGCAACTATTTGGTGATCGCAGTGTAAAGTGGCAGCTCATTACTGTGATTGTGATGACTATGGGCCAGCAGCTCAGTGGGATAAATGCTGTAAGTGAATTCCTCACTATTCAGAAGCCAAACAATTTGTTTTAAAGTTTTGCCTGTCTAATTTCCATCTGGCTTTGACCTTCATTAAAATCAGTAAACTCTGTCTAGAAACCGGCAGAAACACGGTGTGACGTTGTGCAGTCTATATGGTCTTATAAAAACATAAGTGAATATAATGTAACTGGGATATACTTCATGCAAAAGGTCTCTTGTAAGGTATCATTACAAAGCTTATAATCTACTGAGTGTGATCATTCTATTTGTAGAAATGTACCACTCTTGTATCTAAAACTAGAAATATAAAATTATAACTCTGAGGGACTATTGTAATTATGTAAAGTGTGGGCCATTAATGATGGTTTGGAATCTTGATGACTCCCATTAACAAGGACCATTGTCTGCAGATGGTTATGTTTACCTGTTAGTCTTCCTGTATGTGTGTGTGCTGGCAAGTGGGCAATGAGGTCTTGCAGTGACATGTGATCATGTCACCTGAACTGGAATCCATCTTTAACCTGATGCTTTTCCAGTGAGGGGGGTGGAAACCCAGAGGGACAAAGGTTTCCCGCCTTATGCAAAAGATATATAAAGGGGTGGAACAGAACAAAGGGGGAGAGGAGCCATCATGAAGAATCCCCTAGTTACAGGGCCAGATCTAACTTTTTTGCTGCCCCAAGCAGCAAAAAAAAGCGCTGCCCCGCTGAGACCCCCCCCCTGCCGAGCGCCGCCGGAAACACCCCCCTCCGAGCGACGAGCCCCGCGCCACCCCCCCCGCCGAGCGCCGCGCACCGCCAGAGCACCCCCCAGAATGTCGCGCCGCCCCTTACCAGGTGCCGCCCCAAGCATGTGCTTGGTTGCCTGGTGCCTGGAACCGGCCCTGCCTAGCTATCACCTGAGCTAGAACAAGAGCTGTACCAGGGGAAAGAATTGTGCCCAGACCTGGAAGGTGTCCAGCCTGAGAAACTTACTGAAGCATCTCTGAGGGTGAGATTATCTGTATTCAGTTTGATTAGACAAACTGAACTAGATTAGATTTTGCGCATTTTATTTTATTTTGCTTGGTGACTTACTTTGTTCTGTCTGTTACTACTTGGAACCACTTAAATCCTATTTTCTGTATTTAATCACTTTTTATTCATTAACTCAGAGTATGTATTAATACCTGGGGGAGCAAACTATTGTGCATATTTCTCTATCAGTGTTATAGAGGGCGAACAATTTATGAGTTTACGGATTTATTTGGGTTTAGATCCCATTGGGAGTTGGGCATCTGAGTGCTAAAGACAAGGACACTTCTGTGAGCTGTTTTCAGGCAAACTTGCAGCTTTGGGACAAGTGATTCAGACCCTGGGTCTGTGTTGGAGCAGATGGGAGTGCCTGGCCCAGCAAGACAGGGTGCTGGAGTCCTGAGCTGGCAGGGAAAACAGGAACAGAAGTAGTCTTGGTACATTGGGTGGCAGCTCCCAAGGGAGTTTCTGTGATCCAACCCGTCACACATGGGATATAGGAGAAGGGAGAGGCTTTTTATTTTACTGATGCTGATAGGGAAAAGCCCGATTCAACTAAAAACAGTGGGAAATATTAATGCCAAATTTGGATGATAGAATGGAGGTTTGTTTTGCTTTGTTTTTTAACTCTCTCTATCCAAAGCCGGCATAATATGTAGGTTTCCTGGAGCAAGAGCCCTACTAATGCTTGAATTTATGTCTTTAGCACCTGACAAAATGATTAAAGCTCCATCATCCCCTCCCATATTGCATAAACAGCAAAACTTAAGTTACTGCATCTTGCTTCACTTCTCATGACTGAATCTCTCCTGCTTCTTTTTTCCCCTTGGACAAATTACTTTTGGGTTTGGCTTTATGCTTTGGATTTTTATTTAAAGTTAAGGTCTACTTCCAGTGCCAGGTGAACACTGTAAGAGGAACCCATTTGCCCCTAGGAGCAGGGTTGGAGTTCAGATTCCAGAATAAGCAGTTCTCCCACTAGGTGTCTGAACTAATGTGCCTGAGCCCTGGTCTCACTCCAACTTTGCATGGAAGTGCAGGCTGCACACTTGCTGGGATCTTTCACACACACACACACACACTAATGTATCATGGCTCAGGCATAAACTTTCTTATATTGTTCACAGGATACTGTTCAGACTATCAGATTTGTTTTTTTTTACTTAGAGATTGAATTACAGATTTCCCTTTTTGTTTTAATGGTTTTAGTAAGTTATAGGATGCAATTTACTCAAAGGATACTTAGTGTATGAGCCTGACTCTTCCTCTTACTGATGATTTCACTGCTCAAGCACATTGGCACAGCTCTGTTGATATTTTTTTGTAGATTTATTTCTATGCAAGTTACATTTTTAAACAAGCTGGGATCCCTTCAGAAAAAATTCCATATGTTACGCTGGGCACGGGAGCTTGTGAATGCCTCACAGCCCTCACTTGTGTAAGTGACAAATTCTACTTCTACCATACCTGTTATTTTTATTATAATAAAAGAGAGATGTGGGAACGTGGCATCAGTGTTAACTGAGAAAGTGATATTCTATCCACAGGGTTTGCTGATTGACTACATGGGAAGAAGACTGCTCATCATTGGAGGATACACCCTGATGAGCTTTTGGTGCATAGTGTTAACATTCTCCCTGACCTATCAGGTATTAAGAAATGCTCATGTGCGCCAGGAAAGGCAATACTGTTTCTGTTTGAAAATTTGTGAGATTATAGAGCAGCAGAGCTTTTAACATTGGAGAACATCCTCTCTTGGCAGTCAGAGAAGGAGCAAGAGTTGCACAGTTTAAACAACAATGTAGGTCATGACCAAACTTTAAAAAAAATGATTGTCTCTCAGCTTGGGCACCTAAAAATCACTAAAGGTGCCTGATTTTCAGAAAGAGCCCTGTTCCTCCTCTTTGAAGATCAGAACTTTCTTAGGTGTTCCAAATTGGGCACTCAGAAACAGAGGCATGCAAAATCACTAGTCACACTTGAAATATTGGCCAAAAAGCTCATTGTGTCATGACATCTTATTACTCTATAGCAACCCTTCAGAAAACATTAAATGTACAGCAGTGAATAGCAGCAGTTTCTCTTTCATACAGATTATCCTTGTTCTGAATTACAGTGGCTGCTTCCATTGATTAGCAGCCAATAACCTCTGATTGCACTGACTGCAGGATTCCCAAGAGTTCTGACTGTTTCTGGCACCTAATAGTGTATTTGCAAACGACATCACAATGCTATCATCCAAAATTTGGTCCTGCATCTAAATTCTGGAGCTCTGTGTCTAATGCTGGTTGGATTAAATAATGACAAAATATACTTTAAATTAATAATTCCCAGATAAACTTAACTTTGAGAGTCCATTTCAGTCACTTAACTGTAAATGTCCTATATGAATATTGTAGTTATAAAAATAAATACTAAAAAGCCAACCAAATCAGATTTATGTTTAAATTTACAAGAAACTCAGACATTTGTAAGTATGGAAGTTCACCACTAAGATACTCATACTGTCTTAATTCTGCCCCTGTAAAGATAGCCTCCAATCTTCCCTTCCTTGCTAGTCTTGTATCAAAAATACATACAATAGAAAATTAGTTTTATACAGCTAAATTCATTCATATGTCTCTGATAAGTGTGCTGCTTCACCATCACACTAACCTTTGCTCTTTTAATGTAAATAAATGTTATTTCATTATTTGGGCCTAGAAAGTTTGTACACACTTGTTGTGTTTAATGACACTTAGATAATAGACTGGCCCATGGGATTATAGTGATAACTATATACAGAATTTTACTTTGATTTTACAGACAAAGGTAAGTTTTGCATCTACTAATTATAAATATTACTAACAATGAGGACTCAAGCGCTAATAAGTATTTGTGAAATTGATTGACTAGTGTATTGATTGCTTTAAAAGCAAAAACAACAAGAAATTGGCTATTAGTAGCAATTAATGGCTGATAGTGACTAAATGGAAGTTGACCAATTTACAACAAAATATGGTAGCTGTGGGATTTTAATTTTTTTTAAATTTATACACTGTAGTATACTAAGGAACAGGGATTAACTTAACTCTTATTCTTTGAAGACATTTGTTGATTTATTGAATGCTAATTATTACTCTAAGTCAATGATCAATTGTCTGTTATTTATTCATAAGGTCATTTATGGGTTCAAATGCTAAACACTTTTTTGACTTTAAGCCAAATGTTAAGACATGATGACTAAAATCTGAACTAAATACTTTTCATGCTTTTTTTTTTTCCCCCCCCCCAGGAGCTGTACCCCTGGGTGCCTTATTTGAGCATGGCATCTATATTTGCTTTCATCCTGAGCTTTGGGTTAGGTCCAGGTATGGCACATTAGTGAACTTTTGTTTATAAAATTGCCTAAAATGTATCTCTAAAACAGTGCCAATATTGTCTGTAGTGTAAGCAAGCCAGCTAATACTTCCCCTAGGGATTCTGATGTTCTGGCTAAGATAAACCAAATGCATAGAATGGCATAGGACGATATGACCGATACAGTGCATTCCTTCAGTGTATGCTCTCTTCAGGGCCATGAAGTGGCCTTCAGTCTGGTATCTTTGATACACCCAAACCACATAGGAAGCAAGCATGCACTACTGTGGAAAGGGATCTGGGAGTCAGAGGATCACGAGCTAAATATGAGTCAACAGTGTAACACTTAAAAAAACAAATTAAAAAGCAAATATTCTGGGATATACACCTCTACCCCAATATAACGCGACCCGATATTACACAAATTCAGATCTAACACGGTTAAGCAGCGCTCCAAGGAGGCGGGGCTGCACACTCTGGCAGATCAAAGCAAGTTCGATATAACGCGGCTTCACTTATAACGCGGTAAGATTTTTTTGGCTCCTGAGGACAGCGTTATATCCGGGTAGAGGTGTAGTAGCAGGCATGTTGTAAGCAAGACAGTAGAAGTAATTCTTCTGCTCTGCTCCATGCTGATTAGACCTCAACTGGAGTAGTGTGTCCAGTTCTGGATGCCACATTTCAAGAAGGACGTGGACAAATTGGAGAAAGTCCAGAGAAGAGCAACAAAAATGATTAAAGGTCTAGAAAACATGACCTATGAGGGAAGATTAAAAAATTGGATTTGTTTAGGCTGGAGAAGAAAAGACTGAGGGGAACAGGATAACAGTTTTTAAGTACATAAAGTTGTTACAAGGAGGAGGGAGAAAATTTGTTCTTGTTATCCTCCGAGGTGAGGACAAGAAGCAATAGGCGTAAATTGCAGCAAAGGACATTTAGGACTGTTTAGAAGAAAAACTTCCTAACTGTCAGGGTAATTAAGCACTGGAATAAGTTGCCTAGGGAGGTTATAGAATCTCCATCACTAGAGATTTTTAAGAGCAGGATAGACAAACACCTGTCAGGGATGGTCTAGATAATACTTAGTCCTGACTTGAGTGCAGAGGACTGGACTAGATGACCTCTCGAGGTCTCCTCCAGTCCTACTATTCTATGAGCCTTGTTGTCATTGTACTTTTAATGGGCCCTTACTCATGCTAAGTTGTATCTTACTCCCTGAGCAGTCCCATTGAAATCAATAAGACTACTTTTGTAAGAGGGTACACCTTATTGTGAATAGGGGTTATCAGAATCAGACCAAAAAGTGTCTAAAAAGAACATTTAAAAAAAGTATTTCATTAACAAAAGGGATTTATATATAGATCTATCCATATCTTTTACATCAAGATCAGCTAATGGCATATTCAAAAGCAACTATTTTCTTTTTCTTGCTTGAAACTTTCCCTGAAAATGCACACTTACCCTAAGAACTGATTCTGTTTCTGAAACTGATCCCCAGGTGGTATAACAAATACACTGACGGCTGAATTATTTACACAGTCTTCACGGCCTGCTGCTTACATGATAGGAGGATCTGTTAGTTGGCTGAGTTTCTTCACAATAGGAATGCTCTTCCCCTTTATAGTGGTACGTATCCATTATATATACACTATCTTCTCTCAGTTGCCTCATGTCCACTTGACTTCTTGCAGAGAAATTTTCCTAGACACAGAAATTGCTGCTCTTTATACAATAAAGAACATAGTGCTTAGACTTAAGATAAGTGAAAACTCTCCTTCAACAAAGGTATTTTTAGTCAGTCACTCTTAGTAGGCAAGTTTATTTTAGATACCTACAAATAATACACACACACAACAGAAGACAAATAAATAAATAGAAAGTCAGACTGCATAGGGAAGACTAATCTCCAGGTTAGGTTTATGATCAGAAAAAATTGCAGAAAAAGTATAATGAATTCTCACCAAGTTCAGAGATTCATAGCTCACATCTCCTATCAGCATCTCTCGCTATTGCTTAGCTTGTTAGATCAGAAAGAGGTAGCCTCTGTAACAAATGGTTTACTTCTTGTTTAAGGCCACACCTCTATTTGTCCAAACTCAGTGGGGACAATCACTTACAATGGAAAACATCTTTGGTCAAGAGAGAGATTATTTTAGTGAAGACAATACATGTTGCCAAATTCCATTTCTGGTCTAATCATTTCAGTTACTCCACTTGCTCTTGCAAAGAAATTCAATATATAGAGAGATTGCTGAAAAGGGCTACTGCCTACTGAACTGAGAAACTCCTTTGTGTATAACCCTAAAAAATATCAAATAATTGACATGTGTTCTCGGAATAAGTATTTACATAGGGTGGACTCTAGGAAGCTATGTAGGTGCCTAAGTCCTGTTTATAGGAGGGAGTGATGGTGGTATTCACATTTTAGCTTTTAGCCCACTGGTTAGAGTACTCACCTGGAGTTTGGGAGAGTCAGCTTCAGTTCCCCCTTTTGTAGCAGTGGGGGAGGGAAGGTCTTTCACATCATAGTCTGATGGGGTGGGTCCTCAGACACTCCTGTTGAAGCTGTTCCACTGTGGATAAATGAGTCATTGGAGCAGAGGAACGTGACAGAGGGTCTCCTATCTCCTAGGTGGCTGCCTGAACCCACTGGACTAGAGTCATTCTCTCACACTCTCACCCAGTCACTGTTTTATTATTTAATCCACAGTGGAATAGTTTCAACAGGAGAGACAGAGACCCTTACCTCAAAATATCCTGTAGCTCAGTGGTTAGCGCACCCTCCTGAAATGTAGGAGACTCCTGTTCAAATCCTCTTCCCCCCCCCACCCGCCCATCTGGGGAAGCGCAAATTGCATCTAAGATCTCCCCCATCCCAGCTAAGTGCTCTAACCAGTGGGCTAAAAGTTATATCATAGGCATTGCTTCCTTCTCATTTTGTGTGGAGCAAGGCAGGCACCTAATTCATTCCCTATGTAGGCTCTTAAACCAGGAGAGGGGTTCCTGTTGTGGACTGCTAGTAGAGCTCGGCATCTCCCTGCAGATTTGAAGTGTTCTAAAATAAAAAACCACCAACTATATTATTAGAGGGGTAGCCGTGTTAGTCTGAATCTGTAAAAAGCAACAGAGGGTCCTGTGGCACCTTTAAGACTAACAGAAGTATTGGGAGCATAAGCTTTCGTGGGTAAGAACCTCACTTCTTCAGATGCATCTGAAGAAGTGAGGTTCTTACCCACGAAAGCTTAT